GCGTTTGGTCCGGTCCAAATATCAGCCTGGTTCATCATTTCTTCATTAATTGTAAAATTCATGTGGATCAAGGATCGGACCGCATTACACTCGGTCTGGTGCGGTTCGGTCCATACTTCGATTTGATCTGATGCGGTCAGGTCAGGTCTCAAAAAATGGATAATTCATATTTTCATTCTTCCATTTTACATATAATACACAAATGAATAATTGTACCACTATAGTATAAGGAACACACAAAAAAAGGAAATTGAGGGAAAGAGCAGGGGATAAATATCACATAATATTCTATAATAAAATAAAGTATTACTAAATAAATCTCACATGTTTTAGCCTTTCAAGTTTCAAACAAATAACAGGAGATTAAGATTATATATTACAATATTATTAATAAATTAATATAACTAATATGGTTATTGTGGGTTAACCGTTGTGGGTAGTGGTTAACTACTAACCGCAAAAATCAACATTTTGCTATTCACACCCAACTCACTATCCAAAAATTGTGGGTATGGATATCCACAAAGTGTGCAGATTGATGCGGTTTGTGGGCTACCCGCAAACCAAACTTCCACCCCTACGTAACGCGGCAGTTGATCGGGCATGGGCTGGACGACGAGACGTAACGCAGTACCATTGTCAAGTTTAGGTATGCAATTGGACGGTAATACGTAACACGGTTGCCATACCAAGGTAGGGACACCGAACAGTGAGACGTAACGCGGTGATCCCTAGGTTTATGTGTATGAGTTAAGGATAGGAGTAACTTCTATGAGATAACGTGGAACAAAGTATTAAGGATGAAAGCAAGAATGACTTTCATCTAAGGGAGAAAATTTAAATAATGTGCTTTAGTAAGAATTGCTTAGGGCAAAGACCTTATGTAGAAACGACAAGATTGACCCCTTCTCACTCACCAGGTGGAGGAAGGGTTAGCCGCGGTGGATCCCGAGAAGAAGCAAGGCAAGGCGAGCAGCCGTACCAGCATTGATGAGAAGTCAAGGAGCTCGTGATTGCCAAAGAGTTAGGGCTTTCGTTTGAAATCCTTGTACAATGTCATTTGACGGTTACTGAGTTTACTTTTAAATTTGGTTTGGCTTGCTCCGGAGTAACCGGTTTTTAGTTTAAATTATGGTTTGATTTTCGAGGAAAAAAAGATCGGGTTGTTTCAGGCTCCAAGTTTTTTATGCGTGCCGACGGTGGAAGAGGCAATGCATAATCGATTCAACTGGAACATCACAGGTCAGACATCTCAGGTTGGGGGAACATTGTCTTGTGTGGAGTCTTTCCCTAGTAGCAATAGCTTTCTTAGAGCATTTCCAAAGGAAGAATCTTAGCTTCGGAGGAAGGGCAAGTGACCAAAGCCAAGACCATTCCAGGTCACCCAATTGGTTAGTTCTATCATTATGGGTAGGGATCAGAAGATCACGCTGCTCGTGGAGTGAGTGGTAAGATGATCGAGCAGAATATGATCCGGATTTTGTGAATTTCTAGGCCCAACAGTCACTAGCACCTGCAGGTCCAATTGGATTTCGACAAATAGCATTAGTTATGTCCTTTGAGCAGACATTTCGAATGGCTTCAGTATCCCATGATCGCTCTTCTTGATGAATCCAGTCACAAACTCTAGAATGAGGAAGGACTCATAAACAATGAAAAAGTTCTTGATCCCTCCAAATTCTTTCAAATTTTGTTCTCGCCCTCTATTTTCCATCCTTTGATGAAAAGTGAGAGTAAATGTCTTGTTAACCAACTTGGCCAACTCCAAACCGGTTGAACCAAATTTCCAACAGTTAGATCTATCATCGGGAGACCCAGTGTAGAGAATGGCGATCATCGACGGAGGCAGAAACTCGGAGGAGGCAGGAGAAGTCGCCGATGGAGTTTTCTAGTTAAGTGGGCATCTTGCGGAAGGCAGCATTGAGGATAGATGTATTTAGATCGAGGTTGATGGGCTGGAGCTTGAGTCGCTCAATTTGTTCGAGACTCGAATTAAAGAGAGCTTACCTGAGATTATAGCCAAATGGACGATGATATTTGTCTTTTTTTCTTTTCTTTTGATGTTTGTATGGTCACTAATTTATGCTTTTTTATTTGAAATTTAAATATGGCATGGCGGTCATATGGCATGATTGGCGAGTTGGAGCTAATGTGGGAGCTGAAGTGACAGTCACATCAGCATCTCGTTAATATTATTGACAGTGCCTCTAACATCATTAAAGTTTTTAACAGAATTGGTTAGATTTGTCAAACAACTATTCTAAATTTTAACTATTTTGTGTATTTCTCAAAAAGTGTCTGTAATTGTAAAAAATTCAAAAGTTGTGACTATACAGGTGTATTTTGCTTACAACGTACCACCCAATTGAAAGGAATTGAAGCAAGAACTCTATCCAATGGGCTCTGCCTATCAGTTAAGCAATTACTCGCCACCATCGTGTATATTCAAAGACTCGAGTTGTTGAGAGAGGCCTATGTATAACCCCACTTCCTAACACACTCACTAAAATGAAAGTCAACTTATGTGGGTTGAAGTTTGCACAGATAGAACATATCATATGGTTTAAACAGTTGTTAATATTGGGAATCGTGAAAATTCAAACATACAAATACTTGGTCAAACTAGATGTGATGTCATATCATAAATCAATTAGTATCAATAACTCGAATGGTTGGAAATGACAAATATTTTGATGTTAACCACTTCCTAGCTAACAAATACCACATTAACCCATCAAAACGATTTTACTTTATGTCTTGCCTCCCTCATCCGTTCCACAAAGTATCCAACAACCATTTCGTCCAAGATGAGACATCAAACAAATCACGTCTCACATATAGTAGAAAGATCCAATTTGTCACCGTAAGAAGAGAACATGAACACATGCTAACTACCAAAATATACATTGTTCTGTCATCTGAATACAACCTTTTTCACCCCGGTGGCGCTACCTTTTGATTCTAGATTCTGGAAGCTGCTTTGGAGTATTCCTGTGCCACCCAAATTGAAATTCTTTCTTTGGCGGGCAGTTCGTGGTTTCTTGACTCTACAGATTATGTTGTTCACTAAAACGCTTGTTACTAACACTAATTGTCCTATTTGTTCTGGGGAACCAGAATCCTTTTCCCACTTTTTCTTTACTTGCAGTTGCAGGATAGCTCGATGCCTTTGGAGTTTGACTAACCTTGAAGGCACGAGTACCATTCTTGGTGGAATGCCTCCTGATGAGGCTTGACCGCATCTTTTCTTATCCATGAACTTTTCCAAACTCGAACTTGCTAACATTGTTTTCGTTCTTTGGAGAATTTGGAAGGGACGTTGTTGGGAGGTTCACGATCGCATTCAGTATCTCCCTCATGCATTATTTCGCCAGTATCAACACCAAGTGGCTGAGTGGAGGGAGGCTACTCAGGCACCTCCGCCTCAGTCTCATCGTAGCACTACTCACCTCCCTCCTGCAACAGCTCGTGTTGGGCCCTCTCCGACCTCTGGTATTTCTCCCATTATTAATGTTTGGTTTGATGGGGCGGCCAAGCGTAGCCAAGGAGGTAGTATCGGTTTCGTAGGTTTCCATGGATCAGGTATTGTGCTCTTTGCATTTGGCAAATATTACGATGGAATTCAAGATCCATTTATTATGGAATGTTTAGCCTTGCGTGATGCCTTGCAGTGGTGTCTAGCTCATTCCTTTCTTGTTGTTTCTTTGCATGGGGACTCTCAACTATTAATCCGGCGGATGGTTGGAGGTGATTTGCATCATGATCGGGGAGGAGCTATTTTGGCGGATGCTAAGAGTTTGGCTTCATCGTTTAGTTGTATCTCTTACTGTTTTGTGTCCCGTCAACTCAATAGGGCTGCCCATCATGTGGCACAAAAGGCCCACTCATCGAGAGTTCGACTATTGGTCGACTCTCGTGCTGTTCTTTCTTCTTCCTTATGACTTTCTTTTCAACACTGACTTGGGGGGAGGAAGAAGTGGATAAGATTCAATGAACCGCTTGGTAAGTAGTCGGTACGATGTCTAGGAAGTAACTTTAGGATTTTTTGGATGAGTTAATTGTTGAGATGTGCTATTTGGTCTCAAGTAATGAAATTAACTCATTATTTGAGAATTTGGTATTTGCGTATTGTATAGGAAGTAACATTAGGATTTTTTGGATGAGTTAATTGTTGAGATGTGCTATTTGGTCTCAAATAATGAAATTAACTCATTATTTGAGAATTTGGTATTTGCGTGTTATTTATGTAGCAATCATTTCAAATAATTTATTTTCTTGAAGAATTATTTGACATGTGGTATTATATGACAAATAAAGTGAAATACCAATATCCTTAATAACCTATCTGTCTCCCTCCCCAATTTAGGTGAAGCGGAATGCATGTGGATTAGTTTTAATCATTTTTAGATACCCGCAAGGAATCTCAGTTTGATTAATGTTAAACCCAAATTCACCCATAAATATCAAAACCCTATTAGACTTGTTGAGTCACGTATTGGGTGGAAATCTAACCATTATACTTCTAATAATACAAAAAGAAAATAACACATCAGATATTATGACATATAACAAAATGTAAGATATTATAATAACACGTTGGATTCATATTATATTATAATCATCTATAAATTCTATCCAACCATTAAACTTCAAACCAACTGTCTAACCGACTTGATAGTTTAATTCGATTCAACTATTTTAAAAATAACACTAAAATACCACATAAATAATTTATAAAATATTACACTATATAGAAACCACATTCGCAATTACTCCATCCAAATCAACCTTAAATTTTAATTTTCAATCCTCTGTTTTGGGCTTTTGCTTTGCATAGTTTTGGTCAGTAGGCCCTAGTCCAACTGTAGATTTCCTTCCATCGGTCTAGGCCCAAATTAATTTTTTTTTTTTGACAAAGTGGCCCAAAATTTATTCAATGCCCACTTTTGAAAAAAGCGACGATCAATTACCGGGAAAAAAAATAAAAAAAAAATTCAACGAAAAAAAAAAAGTAAAAAAACGACGATCAGTCCGGGCACCGATGCCGTAACTGCACAGTACAATTGCCGAAAAGTGAAAGAAGAGGAACTATTAGTAGCATACGTACTGCGTGAAAAAGCAAGGCGTCAGAGCTCAGAAATTTTCAGAAGCCTCCTGCAAGAAATCGTTTCTTTCTCCTTCTTCCCGAAGAACTTCCCGAAACGAATGGAATGGAGAATGATGGAGCAAACGCAGCTGGTCAAGCTCAACCTCAAGCGCAACCTCAAGCTGTTGATGCAAACGCTGCACTTGTGAGGACATTGAATCCCACTATGAAGCGAAGCATCAACATCAATGTCCTCACAAGTGCAGCGTTTGCATCAACGGCTTTAAGTCAAAGCAGCTTCTCAAGATCCACAAGGTCCAGGGCTGTTGAGCCGGACGGCGGCGTCGTCGGGAGCGGCGTCGCGCTCCAAGCTGGTACGGTTTCTGAACGCTAGGGTTTCTGTACATAATTGACTATCCTCTTGCGCCAGCGGCTTACATCTGCGATTGCGATTGCTATTATTTTGTTCGTTTGCTTGATGGAGATTTGCTGTACTAAGTCGGCTGATGCATTGGCATCATGGCATGCTCTGTTGCGGCTTGACTAAGTCCACTAATGCACGATTTCTTGCATCTAGAATGAGATCGTTCGAAATAGACGATGATTAACAAAACTTATTGGAAGTGTAGTCTACAGTTTGGATAGATGCTGAACTAGCTGGTCCATTATCTCCCTCCTTACGGGAGCACTTCAGAATTTTCGATTATGTCCGATTAGTTTCCGTTCTGTTGATACTTGTGGTGAAGGACTGGAGGATGTTATCTTATAATGTGTTTGGGTTCTCTAGGTATCATGGCTTTCAGGAGTTGTGCAATGAGGTTCATCAGCAGGAGTTTCTCAGGTGGTGGCAAAGTTCTGGGTGAAGAGGAGAAATCTGTAGAGAATGTTTACATCAAGGTAATTTTGACTGTTTTGGTCATGTTTGGCTTTGGAAACTTATGCTGAGGTTTCTCCTATTTGTTACTTGATTTGGTGTTTCTTATGTTATGAGTTTTGGACTCTGTTACAATGTCGATAGCATAAGTGAGATTTCTATGTTGGATGTAGTGTTGAATTGTAGAAGTTTTAAGCTGCCAGTTCTTTGGTTTGTTTTCTATCTTACCGATGACCTTTCGTCGACTATGTGAATGCTATGAATGTGGAATTCTTGTGGAATTTGTTCCTTGTGTGTGCTTGTGGGGTTCTTTCTACTTTTCTTATATTGATTTAGTATGTTCACCGAATGCTGAGCTGGTATGCAAATAGAAAAGTCAGGACAAATTTGAATGGCCAGGCCACCCTCTCGCATAGTGAACAAGAATTCCTGTTTGTTCCAGATTAGGATTTTAGATTAAAAAGTAAGTTGGATTTGTAGATGATACCTTTTATGGTTGACATGGTAGAATACCTATGAAGGAGAGTCTTGAAGTGTTTGTTGAGTCATTGGTATAGTCTTAGGGACTGATTCCAGATGGAGTATTTCTGAAAGGTGAAAGACTTTAAGTTCTGAGCACTCTTTTCTTATGACCAAAAGCAGAACAGTAGTCTCCCTTTGTTCTGTCCCACAGCCACAAGTAGCAATGCCTGCCTCTTCAAAATGCGACTATATTTGCCATACATACAACAGGATTATCCCTTGCAACCATGATGATATCCAGCTGACTGTTTTCTGTCCTTCCATTTCAGGGTCTCAGGCCAGAAGAGACAGCTTGAGCAGGCTCGACTCGGAAGATCTCAACCGACACCTACCGCAACTACGCCGTGCTGGCTGGAGTGATCACCATCGCTGCTCGTGTTGGGTGGTATCTCAAATCTGGTGAGGAAGTCCAGGAGTGAAATGAGAGCCCTGGCACCAAGTGTGGCAAACAGGAGGCGTCACTCTGTTGACTCTCTTCTAGCCTTCTTTTGCCATACTTTTCTTTTAGCAGATACTAAGCAGGATTTTCACCATATGCACTCTACTTGTTTCTATTACTGGTCATAGGAAACTTGTCCCACTTCCCCCCACCCACCCACACACACACTTGTTATGGTTACTTTCTAGTCAACCAGCAGGTTAGCTGCGTTTTGGCTGAAAACAGAGGCCATATTTGACTGCTAAACTGTGAAAAGTTTAATATCTGCTGGTTTCTCTGGGATTGTCCTTCCAATTCCATGGGCTCATCTTCAGTTGGGCCTGTGTCTACTTTGGGCTTGAGGAATGGACTATTCATGCTTGAGTTCTGAATCCAGTACAATTGGGCTTGAGGCAATTCCCTATCAATGGCTTTATTGAGTTGTTTGTTTTTGGTGCTACCCATGTCTGATAATTGATGCATGTATGATTACTTGTTCTATCGAAATTCGGAATTGCCGTCTTTTAGAGTTGTTTAACTCATAAGTTGAATTGTAAGCATGATCCGATACAACTGTTGCTGGCGTATCTATGGAAGATGATGAATTTGACAGGAGAAAGACTGAAAGAGCAAGCAAGAAAGCGTGTTGTCAAGTGGCGCGTGGGCCCAAATAGTAAGGGATACGGTGTAGACTCCCACATGTCTTTAAGCCCAACTACTTATTTTCCCTACTTAAAACGGATTGAAAGGGGACACCGAGATAAATAAATATTGGGCTCACTTTGTCTAGCTATTTAGTAAAAAAAAATTTAATAAATTTGGTATAGTTTCTTTTTTACTTTTTTATAATTATGTCCTAATTAAGAAATTGGGATATGAGACTTCGAGATATTATTTTCTTAAAAGATTATCTATATACGACTTTACAAAATATGTATATCTCGAAAACACAAAATTCAGTCTCGTTATAAATTATTTGAAATAAATAAAAGCAAAGGATTGTTTCTAAGAAATTTGGGGCAAAAGAGGGAAGGACATTTGAAGATCCTGGTTCTTCTCTCTATCAGATTTTCTGTTGGTTGGCTCAAAATCTCAATCATCTGAGGTCATTAGTTAATTGTTTAATATTAAAAGTGAGTAATAATGAACAAAACATAATATAAATATATGACAAGTGCTGACTGGTATGACAATATGTCATAACTCGGTTATGGTAGTGGACCCTTTCCCTATACAGTTTCTTTTTAATACTCAAACAAACAAGAGGTATTTTGTGAGTAAAGCAAAATACACTGGTCGACGGTATTAGATTATCCCTTCCATTACTATTCTTTGTTTAAAAAAAAAGATAATTAATTATTGCTAAAACGCAAACTTGATTACCCAAATGACATATGGAAGGGAAGCAAACAGTAAATTCCCATGGATCATGCGTCAAGCAAAGTGATCAATAATTATGAGAATCGAAACTTTTGGGATGTTCTTACTGTTACTAAAAACGTTTATAAGGATGGGCGTCAATATGGACTAAAATTATCAAGTTATGGGATTCGACAATCTCTGACAATGAGCTTGTAACTTTTCTATAAACAATGTTAATACGTGCTTAGAAATTTGAATGATTAAGATTAAATGCTATGCAATCCAATAATATCATCCTACGATGAGATTGGCGTCCTAAGTAAACAGATAGTAAAATCATTAGCAATTATAAAAAAAAAAAGTCTTAAACACAGTTCTCTTATCTCATCCTTTTCTATTTGCCTGTGGAATATTTGCCTTGGATGGCATCATTTTGTCACCTCAAATTTGGGACAAGAACACAATCAGCGCAATAACACTACCCGTCAAGCGCGGGCACAAGCAAACAATCGAAGCATGCTGCACAAATCCCCATGATTAAACATGTTTTACGCAATTAAGTAGGTTCTTAATTAATCAATGTCCCACTTGATTAACATATATAATAGTGCTATTATCCACTACTGAAGGTTAGTGAATTAGCAACAACTACTCTCTCTTACAAGTTGCAACCTTCCACACTTTCCAAAAATTCTAGTTGAGAATTTACAAAGATGATTTCCCTCTCGTATGGATCGTCACCAATTGATTTTTCTTCTATATCAATACTCACTGTGAAACCACAGAAATCACTACATCCAAAATGGAATGATGATTCCGGGACTCAAATACTCGACTACTGATTCACTCTTTTGTTGATATATCGTTGAACTACAAATATATTCGTGTGAATAACTGAATCTAATACTTATGAATTTATCCAATTCGCAGTAGTAAATGAAAATTGTGCACTGGAATAGTTGACAATCTCTAGTTCGTAACAATTATAGTTCATTCGATTAAGAGTTTCATTATAGTGGGTGATATTGGCAAGCTGGTAGTACCGTAGTAGTTACTCAATTTCTAAATGTTGTTAAATCGAGCATTATTTTGGGGTTTAAGGAACATTGTAAATTTGACTAAGATCAATTGCAAAGAATATAATAGGAATGGGATGAAGAAATATAAAAGCTGATTTGTTACCATCACCTGAAACCATCTTGCCATCTAATTGCTAAAACAATTCATGGTACACTTGTTTCGTATAAGTTTAGCCACTAACAATTTTGGGTAAAGACCAATTTCAGAAATATAATGTTAGTTTTGAACTTTGTAGGAATTTCTGACAAGCTATGACAATTTTTTGTTATTCTTTTAGGTGTATATGCTGGTCATTTAGGACTCGAGAACACTCCAACGTTAAGTTAAATACGAAAGGGAAGAGATTTTAATATCTTCTTGAAGGTCAAGTATATATCTAAGATGTTTGGAGCGAACGATATTGAAACATGTTCTTTGACCCTATAACTTTTTGTTATCTGTCAGGGAGAAGTGAGATCGAACAATCAATTCTTGATGTCTCAGAGATAATTGGAGTAAACATGCTCTTCAGACTTCAGTTCTATAATATTTTGTTTATCTACCTAGGATAAATGAGCTTGTGGAGTATGAACATTGGAGAAGAAACATCCATCACGACTCACAACAAATGCTTGTAGGAAGGAAAAACTCGATTGATTTTGAGGTTAGTCTAGATGCTCCCAAAGTCTGTCTAACGACACACCATCTTCCCCTAGGGTCGACTGAGGACCAAATGTAGGGCTTTAACCCAATGGGTTTGTCTTCAACACAAATCTTTCAGTGGTCATGCAGATTGACGAGACTTATCGAGAGTAGTTGAGAACTGATAAAAGTTGATAGACCTCTAATTTACATCAAATACCCCCAATAAGTACTCTTTAACAAATTACATACCCTAATAAGTTAACAATATATACGCTAAAACAAAATGAATCACAACTATATATGAATAAGGTAAGCAAATCTTGGCATACACATTATTCCCAAAATTGATCTCTAGTTTTTCTACCTTTCACCGGATAAGTTAACTTATATTTGTCCAAATTAACCAAAGTACAACGGTCCAAATTAATCAATTAATTAATGTATAAAAATTCCGTTTTTTGTTCTTTTACTATATATCTACAACGGTTCCCACTAGATTCAAGTTCTAGCTGTAGCTTCGCCGCTGGTGTAAAGAAAAGGTAAAGTCACTTCCTTATTTTACTCCGTTCCTTCCAAGAAAAAAGGTAAAGGAAGGAGAAAGCAACCGGCCGGCGGAAGGAAGGAAAAAAAGCGCAGTCACGGCGTCGCCACCGTCACACCCTCACGGAGAACTCTTCACCTTCAAGCCTTACAATAAAACCCCACACGGTAATTAAATAAAAGAATCTAATTTCTCATCATTCCCTTTTCCCACCAAATTCTCCTCCATCGTTTCGGTTGGGCTGCTTCAACGCCAGAAGAGAAAGAAAACAAAAAAGAAAGGAGGATTCAGCAACAAGGGAGACGAGCAAAAGGCAAAGCTAGAGAGCCGGAGAGAGATCTCAAGTTAATGATTCTCACGTCCATTTGCGAGAAAGACAAAAATAACCCAACCAACAGCACGATTCTCTTCCCCCCACCCTTGTGCCGATTCCTTCAATCCAACTCCATCTTCCCCCAAATCTTCCCATCTAAACCAAAAGCTCCAATCTTTTCTTCTTTTTTAATTCACAACCCAATTGGCAAAAAAACAAAAATTATTAGAAAAGGAGGGTAAAGCCACTTCCTTTTCGCTTGCCAGCAATGACCCAAGTCCAGGTGCTTCATCAATCTCCTTCCCATTTCCCTTCCTCCCCAACCACCACTACTTCTAACCCTTCTCCTCCTTCTCCTCCTGCTCCTTCTTGCCTTGGGGATACTGTCGAGCCGGTGGATGAGGGTGCTGTGGAAGAGTGTGATTTGTTGAAAGAGAGTGAGAAGAGGCGAAGGGATCAGCTCTCGCTGTTGGCTCTGCTGGTGACTCTGTTCAGGAAGTCTGTGGTGACTTGTAAGAGCGAAAGGAGGGAGCTTTGTGCGATGGAGATCAGTTGGCCTAGGAATGTGCGCCATGTGGCTCATGTGACCTTTGATAGGTTTAATGGGTTCCTGGGTTTGCCTGTTGAATTCGAACCTGAAGTGCCCAGAAGAGTTCCCAGTGCTAGGTACATTGCCTTATTTTTTGGGGATTTGAGATTTGTTGCTGTGGGGTTGCATTACCTGGTTTTGTTAGCTGTTGAAGGAATTTCATATGTCTATATGTGTGAGTTGAAGGTGAAACTTGGTGTTGTTTATGGATTTAGTTATTCCCTTTGGATATATTTGTTTGGGGATCCTTCTCTGGTGTGATTTCAGTAGTTGGATTTATAGGGCTTCTATGGCTTGTTTGCATATCTGAGCTGCTATAGATTGCCATCTTACGAATAATTGTCATGAATGTTAGAAAATAGTCAGAGATTTAGATGTTAGCTGCATTTTGAAAATTGATTAATGGAAGGAACCCTGAATATAAGGTGATCTTCTGAAAATATGACTTACAATTGCTCCAGCCTCCAGCTTTCCTTGATATCTCTTGTTTATGTTTCCTGGATCCTTTGAAAATGCTATTACTCCTTGGAATCAACCCTTGTCTACTCAAGACTGGAAGTTATTATATGTAATGAAATTCGGTTCAACTAGGCTATGATGCAGAAGCATTTGACTAATAATGATCTTAAGTGCCACTGTCGATGTTTTTGGTTGTTATGCTGAGATTTAGATTTCTTGATCCACAGGAAAAGTTCATTTGTCTTCTACACATTTCCTTCTTTGTACTTTATATGCCAACGTGCAACTTCATCATTCAGAAGTCACTCCGGCATTGATGAGGTTTCAACTTTGCTAATTGTTCGTTGCTCTTCACCATTCCATGATGCAGTGTGACTGTTTTTGGGGTTTCCACAGAATCGATGCAATTGTCATATGACTCCAGAGGGAATAGTGTGCCAACTATACTCTTGTTAATGCAACGGCACCTGTATGGCCTAGGCGGTTTGCAGGTATACACTGCATTGCTAATTTCCTTGGTTTGCTGATGTTGCTCCCCTACTATGAAAAAAGGAACATGGAATATATGGGGAGAACCTCCTAGTTGGGAAATGCTTACTTGTTTGGACCATATAACCATTAGTCCATTAAGTTTGGCTGTAATGAACATCTTAATCTGTCTTTTTCCAGGCTGAGGGGATTTTCAGAATTAATGGAGAAAACAGTCAGGAAGAGTACGTAAGGGATCAGCTAAATGGTGGAGTGGTACCTGAAGGTGTTGATGTGCACTGTTTGGCTGGACTTATCAAGGTAATGGAAATTCAATCAAGTCTCTGAAAGGTGAAGTTAAAGTGAAGAGTTGCATGACTTATGGGTCACAAGTAGTGTGGTTTTTGAATCTTGTACCGAAAAGTGTACAAACGAGAAAAGAAATTACATTGCTAAAGAAACATGCTACCTGTCTGATTCAGCTTATCTTTTTGGATAGATCTCACTGCTTCAATCTGTTAAGGAACTCTGACTGTTTAATCTAAACTCCAATTTTTGTTTTCCACAGGCATGGTTTAGAGAACTTCCAACTGGGGTTCTGGATTCTTTGCAACCCGAACAGGTTATACAATCCCAAACTGAAGAAGAGTGTGCTGAGCTTGTGAGGCATCTGCCTCCAACTGAATCTGCTCTCTTGGATTGGGCCATCAACTTGATGGCAGATGTTGTCGAGCAAGAACATCTCAACAAGATGAATGCACGCAACATAGCCATGGTGTTTGCACCAAACATGACTCAGGTGTGTATGTCCATTTATCATGACACACAAATTGGTAAATGGGATATATGCCTTGTTAGTGCTAGTATACTTAACTTTTTGGAGAAACAAAAGTCTCGTAAAATTCTAGCAAGGGAAAAGTCCATATTGCATTAGAAAATGATAATCCTAATACAATCTAGAGAATCAAATTTATACACACAGAAAACCCCAAGAATTAGGCTTTGCGTGGTTTATGGTGTAAACCTGTCTATTAATGGCTAATATGGGCGGTGAATGGAGGATTATTGGTGTTGTTTGAGTATGCAGATGGAGTAGAAATAATGAGATTGGTGGGATAATTGCATCACCATGCTTTAACAATGCTATGCTGTATCTGTTGCAGATGGTGGATCCTTTGACAGCACTGATGTATGCAGTCCAGGTGATGAACTTTCTAAAGACACTCGTCTTAAGAACACTGCGAGAGAGGCAAGATTCTGTAGTGGAGCCCACACCAGCTTCACGACTCGGGCCATTCGATGGAAGTGGTCACCAAAGCCCCTCCCAGCCCTTCTGTTTACACACTGGCCAAGACACTGAAACAACCCAAAGCTTAAGTGAGGATGATGAACCTGTCATGGAACAAGGCTCCAGCCACTGGACTCAAGAAGATACCGGTGTCAAACATGACGAAGAACAAGACTGCAGTTTAATTTGCCATGGTGAGCAGTCGAGTGAGATTCTCCCTAACGTGGCTGATGAAACTCCCATTGTCGAGACTGAAGCTGGTGATGAAGAAAGCAGTCGAAGATCTAGGACCGATGCCCAATCTAGCAACTCGAACCCCAGAAAGAGATCTGGCAAAATGACTAGGGAGCAGCGACAAGCAGTACTTCATCTGACACCGCCACAGGATTCCGTTCTTCATTTAGCCTCTTTGGTCGAGAAGACGCGGGAGATGAGCAATTTGAGCCGTATAGACTCGAGGACAGAGCGCATCGAAGCCTGGCGATAAATCCATTCGAGAGATAACTGAGACAAAGACAAAGTCATTTTCAGCCAGCCCATCATCATCTTGGTGGCTCTGTGTCTCCTCTGGGAAACACTTATTCTCTGATTTGTTTCTATGTATGTTTCTCTTCTCCTTATGTTTTGAGTGGTTTGCTTGCTTCCTAAGTTTCATGCATATATGCTTAGTGTGTGAGGTAAAACTAACACCTTCTTCCCTCTAGTGTGTTCCATTCGTATTACCCTCTCTAACTCGGTGTGATATTCCATCGGCCACAATATCGATGACTCTCGACTTACTCTTGTGTTCTATGATCAATGTCATATTCATGTTGATATAGATTGAAGCACTGGATTCAAAAACCATGCATATTGTGTTAGATGTTGATAGTGATTAGCGAGTATGACACATGAAACCACATGGGGTGAAATGTAGTGGCAGAAGGCTGTCATACGACAATGGTAATTTGGCTACAGAAAGCAGTAGTGACCATTAATTGGAGGCTGGTGTTACCCAGAGAGTTGCTTTCATTATCTTCTGGGGATCGTTTGGTTGGTTTCTTTTTTTACCTTATTGGAGATTTTGGCCATTGAAGGCTTTCTGTCAGTTTCCTTGGGGAAGAAAAATGGTGGTGGAATGGCAAAATATTCCAAGATCTGATGGGCACCTTAGTGGAAACAAAGCCAGCGAGGCCGACTTTGAATTTGTGGGTGACGACGTTTTCTTTTCATGCAGCTTCAGATAACGTGAATATTTGCATTGGGGAATCTCGTTGTTGTGTAGATCAGATGGTACCAAAGAGAAACCGTCACGTTCTCATGCCAATAAGTTGTCGCTTGAACGTATTGTGGGTCAAGTTGCAACTCGCAAGTGATAAATCGTATTAGGGATAAGTATTATCGATAGGTACGTACCGTTAATATACGTCTAATAAGAAGGCAAGTCGAGCAATGGAGATTTAAGGAGAAACTTGGTGAATTCACCATGGTAGCCGACTTATTTGTTTTACTGATCGATCAGTAAGTTGTAGTCAACTTAATTATTAAAGTGGTTGAACTTAATTGTTAAAGTGGTTGATTGATTTGTGATGTTAATCGTGGTACATCGTATTGGAGATGAAGTTGACGATACTAACCAAATTTTTTTAACGATTCGATACAATTGGTCTATACGGTGATGGGCAATGGTAGAACATAAATTATTATTGTTTCTAGTTTTCTAATCTGAATCCGTCCACAGGGAAAGATTTGAGTTGAAAAAAAAATGTGAAAGGGATGAGATAAGCTGATAAAAGCTAGTAAAGAAAAGTTGGTGCAAATATTCTGGATGTTGCTGATATTTTTGAAGGCCTTGGAAAATCTACAACAAAAACTTTGGATTTCCAAAAGACAAAAAAGAGGCAAAAGGATGAAAAGATGAGAGGTTTAACACATTTGTGGGGTAGTATTTTCAAAACGGTCATCTAACTACAATATTTGTACAAAATAATCACATATATTTTATTTTCTCCTGAAATAGTAATGCAAGTTTCAAAATTTGTAGTAAAATAGTCCTGTCTTTTCAATCTTGGTTCTAAAGTTTGTTCAACTTACCATCTTAGAAGAACCATATTGTAAAGAACTACACTCTCGTGGTATTGTTGGACTATAGGGTTAATTAGTAACATTCAAAATCAATTTGGCAAAGGTTTCCATCATCTTCCCCAAAATTTCGGCAAATGTCGTCGTCGGGATATTAAATGATTACAAATACTAAGATGACCGGCCGGGAAGAGAACAGGAACACGACGACTCTGGGAATTTCCTTAATAAGGGTGTGAATGAAACCTAAGATGGGTTTTAGTTGGTAAAGGATGATCGACTAATCTTAGAAATGGGTTTGACAACAGAGGAGTTGATGGACCAAATAAGAACATTACAACATGTTCTTTTTTCCCTGTTTCGTACGTGTCATGAATGATATTGATCACATGTGCCAAAGAGCCATTGGCCAAGAAGCGAGCGATCATGATCAGAACATGTTTGAAATTAAGAAGAAACAACTGTAATTGGAGAGACAATTAATGCACATATGGGTTTGGCTTCGAGATAGTTAGGAGTTAGAACTGTTGAACAACTTCCCCTCCATGTGTCATATGTATACATTGTGAAGAAATATACAGGTGGCACAATTTGTACATAAGATAGATTAGATGTTATTATTATTGACCAACGGCCCCAGAAATCTTACCAGAAACTAGCAGCAGCTAGGCTACGTCACCGTATGTGCTTAAACTTCTGTTATTAATTAACTAAGGTAATTACTAAAGACTTGGTTCACTGCATGGGTTGTTGCATGCCAAATCGTGTCGGAAGATCGTCGGGAGAGTTCGGGTTTTGGTTTAATAGTTCCAGTTAGAATCGTTTTTGGCAAATAGCGAACGACTTGAAACCGATAAGAAAAACTAATGATGGTTGCTGGGGGTTCGACACATGGAACAATTATGGCGGAGCTATAACAATTACTATTTCGCTGAATACATTGGTGCACGTTCATAGTCGCGAGACTTGGCACACGCCATGCCCTTGAGGCCAACATAACTGTACTACGAGAAATTTTGACGGTAAAGCATACGAAGTTCGTTGTTGTTTACCGTAGATAAAATCGGATGTGCAATAGACACGTGGATTCTAACTAGAACAATGAACTACCCAACGGATTTATCAATGTACCAAGATCGTACGAATCCATAAAGAGAAGTGAGATGAGTCCTTTAATTTGCACGTATGCAATTGGAGCTAGCTTTTATTTATTTATTTATTTTTTTTTTATAAGTTTTTTTATTTATTTATTTATGGTGAAACAATTGGAGCTAGCTTGCTAGATAGAGAGAGATTAATAGATGTGGGTCGGGGAGAGTTGGTTGGTTGGTTGGGTTGGACCGTTGGAATGAAGCGTGTGAAAGGGAAGTCTCGTGGGTCGGTATCTACTGAGCCATTTGTCGGCAAGCCACTGAACCCAAACCCAGTTGCTCTCTGCTTTTCCCAGTGAGTTCTTTACTACCCTGCTTTCCTTGGCTGCAGCTACTCGCAGTCTCGCTCGCACCAGTAACTATAGGGGAGTTGCAGTGTAATCAATGCTATGATGGGTGTGTATCGGGTTTGGTTCGTACCGGACCAAATTGATGCTTGGACCGGACCAAACCAACGTTTAGGGGGTCCGTTTGGATGACGAATCTAATGGATCAAACTTGACCCAATTGATTCGTTTGGCAGCATAAAATTTGGATGGAGCAATTTGGTCTGGGGAATTTCGAATCGATTCATTTTGAGGCAATTGCAATTGTACATGGAGTGGGTGTAGATAATTCGGACCAAATTGCTCCAAACGACCCCAAGTACTAAAAGAAAAATGGAACAAAGTGACATTTGGATCGGACCAAATTCACGAGAACCGTCGTCGTCGTGCAATAATGAAGACCAATACAGAACCCTAATCAATGTTATAGATAGGTCACCACCTCCCCCACCCATATATGGCAATTGCTGCCGGTTCCTACCCTTTCTTTATTATCCCGCGTACAACATCAATATACCAGCAGGCAGCAGGGTTTGTTACACTACTATTTTTCACACCATACATTTTTCTTCCAATGAAGGCAAAAGTTTGACTTTGATTGAAGGGATAGTGGGGGTTTGACTAATGTATAAAAAGGGTGTGTGGAATTTGACAAAATAATCAATGTATGCCGACTAATAAATCCTCTAGCTCATCAAGCACATGATCCAAATAGCGATTGCGCGCCGAGAAATTGATGGTAGTTTTTGATATGCCTCCACGAAGATGGCTCTTTGACCTTTTCTTTATGTGATTACCTAGACACTAACCAAAATTTGACACGTTGCATTGTTTGTGATTGTGAGAAGTCCCTCGAGTCTTGATGGAAAAAAAAAAAAGAAAACTTAGGCTTATGTGTTTTAAAAGTTGAAGTCGGATCAAATATTTCTATAGATATGATATTCTTCATTAGGTGTTCGAAATGTTGGTATCCCTTTGATCTAGAGTCTCTAGTATTGGATTACGTTTGACATCCTAACATCCAAACCTACCTTTGCAAATTGCAAGCATCAATAATATCATAAATCGTACTCACAATTTGACGGAAGGATGTAAGAACTATGGATCTATGGTGCGTACGTCTAAGGTTCGTATTTGGGGGGATTGTGATATAGAATTGGGGATTGTGGTGTGAATTAGGGATTTGATAGGTTACACGTTGGAGGAAACTCTTGAATTGTGGACTGTTATTATGGGCCTCTTGGATTTCTTATGGACCGATTCGGCCAATATATTTTTTTTAAAATATTATTGGTATACATGTCTAGATGCAAGTTTAACACATAATAATAGTGTTTACCAATATTTTGGGTACAGAACGATCAAAGTTATACATTACATCACCTCGTTATTTTCCTTCATACATGACTGCTCCTTCTGAAGTTTGTTTACCAATTTCCCTGCACTGCCAAATTAATTAATATCAATTATAATCTCTCGGAACCGTTTAGCCAACCTGAATCAGATAAACCCTAATTGGCTAATCCAAATTTAACTTGTCTAGCTAGCTAATACTGTTGTCTAATTTTTTTAAAAAAACACATTAGTTTAATCACGACTCACCGTTGCACGTAATTTGATTTTTTTTCCAAACGCGCGCGCTAAGGAGATTCTCCTCCAAAAGGGCAAAGGAAGAAAACGCACTAATTATTTATTAACAACACGTCTCATCATTATTAACACTCATAAGTCATAAGTAATAATACACAACCTCCGTACATTTTAAGCGACCATCCTCCCCAATTTTAATAACCCACTAATTAATCACAACGCTAATTAATATAGCTTTCGTTAAGTCTCTCCACTTCATAAAAACTTGTAAGTCAATCAACAAATAAATCCCCACCAAAAGAGAGCGAAAAAAATATATAGACAACGAAATCAAGACATATTTTTCTTTTATCCAATTCGTCTAACAGGTTGACAGGTGTAATAATGGTCAGTAAGTGTCAATTATTGACATTTAGATTGGGCAATCTACAAATCTTAATTACTATACATACATGTTCAAGGTAATTTATAATTATACAAAACAAATAACACTAGAACATACACAAAACAATTAAGATCACGAGCTGCACGTTCTGATATATAGTATCTGCTAATGGCGTCGAGCGCGAGATGCCTCCTACTTTTCGTCGATCAAAATTCCCTGCAAACCCTAGCCCGACTCTCGACTTTGATCAGTGAAGGTAAAACTCAAATGGAATGGAGAAATGAAATTCAGATCAACCAAATACTAAAACGACATGAACTTTTAACCCTGGGCTTGAGTTAAGTTAGGCCCACTGAAGTTCAGGCTTCTTAGCACGGCAGCTGAGCCCACTTCCACCTTTAAGTTAAAGCTCTGCGTTTTAACAACAACTTTGGTGATGTTCAACTGGAGCCAATTGGATT